CGGACTCAGCCCCCAGCCCCGGCCCCAGCCCGCGCCTCACCCCTCAGTGTACTCGGCCTGCAGCAGCCCCAGGTAGGCCTCCCACTTGTTGCCGACGATCTTGCCGCAAGTGAAACACCGTACAGGAATGATCATGGCGGCGGCGCGTCCCAGACTGCCCGGCCCGGTCCGGCCGCACGGGAAGAACTCCCCCCAGGCCCCGCCCCGGGCGCGTCCACTGTCGCGGGGGGACCGGCTCCGCTCGTTCTCCGCTGCCCCAGCCGTTCATACACTGGCCCCGGCGCCGCTGCCCGCAGTTTCCGCCGCCATGGGGATTCCCCATGCGGCCCGGGGCTCCTGGGCCTGCACGGCCGCGGCAGCAACAGACGACACACCCCCGCCCACCATCTTGGTGCGTCCCGGAGCTACGGCGTCTGAGCAGGGCCGAAAGCCGCGGTGGCGGTTCGCGTTTCTCGTGTCCGCTTGACTGACAGCTGCGCGGAGGGAGCGGACGAAGCAAGCGGGAGGCGGCGGCGCAGGTAGAGCGCCCGGGGGGTCGTGGGGGCGTGCGGCCAGGGTCTCGCGGCCCGAGGTGTCCGACCGGGAGCGGCTGGAGCCGGACGCGAACGGGGCGCGCGAGTTCGAGCCTAGAGCCGACACGCAGCAACAAGTGGGGTCCGGCGCGGGGGCTTGGGGAGAGGGCGGGCGCGGGCCGGGGCGGGTCTTCCTGCTGCCCCTCTTGGCCCCGCCGGGTAGTGGGTCCCTCCGCCTCCGCCTCTACCCGCGGGGTGTCCGGGGCTCTCGGCGCCGAGTTCGGGGGTCCCATTCTGGACGCGGCCCAGCCCCTAGGGGCGCCGTCCTGGCCTCGGCCGCGCTGTTACGGCCCCCGCCGGCTGCTCCCCGCCCCGGCCTCCTGTCCGCGTTCTTTCCGCTCCTTCCCAGGAGGGGGGTCGGGGTGCGCCCTCCCCGGTCCCGGCTCTGCTGGGCTGCTCGCCGTCCCGACGCTGAGACGCGCCTCTGAGCACGGGGAGAGGGGGCCCGGGAGGGAGGTCGGGGAGGGCGTCGTGGAAGAGGTGCTCTTTGAATTGAACCTTGAAGACCCCGGCACAGGGGACCCCTGGGCAGACTCCCGGAGGCTGCACTGGCAGGACCCGCTGAAGGCCGCAGCTCTGCCTTGCCCTGGAGCTCAGGGCCTACGGAGGACGAGGGAGGGGGAGCCCGTGTCTCTCGGATGGAGTGCGGGGGGGCTGTGCCCCTAGGGTGGGGGTGAGGAAATGGGGGGTCGGTGTGCAGTAGGAGGCAAAGAAGACTCCTTGGAGGTGCGAGGTAGGCTGTGGGGGGGTGGGTGGGCTGCAAAGTGGCACCCATGGGGGGGCTCTGCGCTGGGGCTTCCAGCTGGGGTGGGATCTGTGCTGGGTTCCGGGCTTCAGCTGCCGCTTTCTCAGGGCAATGCTGGGTCTGCCTTAGTTGCAGGGGAGGAGGATGAAGGGTTTTCTGGATCCAGAGTGGTGCTGGCCAGATCCACTGCACACTTGGGATTTTTGCTCCCAACCTGGCCAGGGCCCTGGGCAGCTTCCCCAGTGGCATTTGTCATACCCCACCCAGCCACGTGCAGAGCCACGAGCGGAGGCCACTTCCCTTCCCTGACCCCCTCCCCCCAGGATGAGTGGACGCACATCCTGCTCGGGCAGAGGGGCAGGACAGGGGCCGTGAGTAACGGTGGCCTGGGGTCAGAGCCAGGCTCAGCTGCAGAGGCTGCTGGTGGCTGTGGAGGTGAGGGAGGAAGGGGGGTCCGGGATGTTAGCAGGGTGGGCCCTGGGGAGTGGGTGGGGGCCCGGAGGCTTCCTGGAGGAGGGTCCAGGGCCTGTCCTGCCCCTGTTCCTGCCTGCAGGAGTTGTTTACTCAGAGCACGGGGCGGGGAGAGTAAGCTGCCCTCCAAATCCTGGCTTGGGCCAAGCTGACATTCTTGGAATTCCAAGTGTGTACGCTTCCTATCCCTCCATTTCCTAGCAGAGCCCCTGAGACCTGGAGACTGCCCCAGCCTCAGGCTCTGTGCCCCTCCCCCGAGTCCCCACCACATGTGTGTGGAGGCTGCTGGGGAGCCCAGGCCTGTCCTCAGCCCTGATGGGGCTATACCTGAGGACCCTGGGGAGCCTGGGCCTGCCTCAGCCCTGGCTGGTGCGTCCCCCTGAGAGCGTGTGGGGCGGAACAGCCTGGGGCCTGGGCCCGACCCTCCTCAGGCTAGCGGGGGTGGGAGGGAGCCTGGTGGGGGGGCAGGGCACTGTGCTGGCCAGCAGGGGCCGGTGGGGGCTCCTCTCTCCTGGGTGTGGAGTGTTGGTACAGATCCGGCCTGGCTTCTGGGGAGGGCCTGGGATGGGGCCAGGAGGCGAGGCACTGGTTTCATGGAAGGGGGCGTTGTGGAGCCTCCTGTGGTCAGTACAGGGCACAGGGAGCGGAGGGTGGGCTCCCCCAAGCGCTTCCTACTAGAGGAGGGGTCACTTCAGGGCAAGTGACCAGGGGAAACCCATGATTGAAGTTTTAGCTGCTGAGCCCCTCCCACCCCGGGTGTTGCCCTGGAAACAGGCCAGCCACGGGACCGGGAGGGCTGGGAGGGGGAGCACGGGCTGCGCCCTCAATGGGATTCAGCTGAACTTGCACTCTGGTCTGGGATCACAGCCCGTGTTTCCCTATCTGTGAAGCTCAGGTGGGACCAGAAACTGCCCACCAGGAGGGCTGCATCCCTCCTGCCACTGAGACCAGGCATGGCCTTTGGCTGGGAGAGGGTGATCATGGTGTGTGTCCCCAGCCTCGCCCCCACACCTGTGCCCCTTGGCCCTGTCCATGGCTGGGACAGATGTGTGCTCACCCTGAGGATGTTGTGGGGTGGGGTGGGTGCACACGGCGTCACGAGCATACGTGCCCGACACCTCAGCGGTGCACACAGCCAAGGCCACTGCCTGCCGTACCCACGACGTCCGCGTCCTCCCTGCAGTCCTGGGAGATCGGCATTTTGAGCAGTGGGGTCTGTAGATGGGGCCAAGGCTGAACTGGCCCCAGCCTAACCACTCACAAGCCTGGGCTGGTGGCATTTGGGAATGTCACTGCCTGCCATGCAGCTGCCTAGGCCTGATGTGCCCCCCAGACTGTTCTGTAGGGGTCTAGGTTGCACGGGTCAGGGCCCGGGCTGTGGTGGGATGGCACCTGAGGTGCGGCTGCTCCTGGAGCCTGGGGGTTGTGGGAAGGTGCCCCCCACCCAGGGTCCTAAGTGTGTTGCTTTCACCCCCAACTCCCAGAAGAGAAATACCCAACAGTGCAGGGGAGGGTTACGGGGAAGGCCTGGAGTGTGGGGTTGGCCTCGGTGGTCCTGGGAGGAAAGACTGGGGAACCTCTGGACTGTCTGTCCCTCCCCTGGGGCTGGTGGGGGGATCAGAGTGGTGTCTCCAGCCTCCAGGGCTCAGGTTTGGGTGGGAGAGGCCTGGTCCCACCCAGACTTTGTGTGCAGCCCCCAGTCCCTGCTCCTTGTATGCATGAGGGGGTGCTAGCTTGCTTGGGACCCCCCCGCCCGGGGTGAGGGCCTGGGACGGGCACTGGGGCCCCACAGGGGCTGAGGCAGCCAGGAAGCCCACAGCATAAGCTGTTTGTGTTGGCGGGCCTCCCTGCTTCCTCAAAGCTACCTCAGAGCCTGTGAGCCTGGGGAGTCAGGGTGTGTGGGCTTGGCTCTGCTGTCTGTCCTGAGCTGCCCCTGCTGGGCTGTGTGGCGACCCCGGGCTCTGGGCTGGGCCAGGACTGAGCTGCTGCCCTGCTGCTGGGGCTCAGAGAGGCTGCTCCACTGGCCTGGCACCCAGGCTACTGCAGACAGGCTGCTCTGTCGCATGGGCAGGCCCCTCTTGGGGGGGACCTCCCTCTGGCTTCGTGGGTGTCCGAGGTCTCCTTGCAGCTCAGTCCCCCGGGGTTTTCCGACCTGCAGAGCTCTGGGTGTCTGTCTTGGGGCCCTCGCTCAGCCAGGGTTGGGTTGGAGCCTCTATGGTTCCTCCTGCCCTTGGGCTACTGGAAGGACAGTTACCTCACTCCAGAGAGCCGGGTCTGAGGGGCGAGGTGTTGCGGGGTGGAGCCAGCAGGGCAGGGAGTGCTGGGCACTGCGTTTGGCTGCCCAGGTGAGTTTGGGGCCTCTCCCTGGCCAGAAATCCATGAGTGGCAGGAGGAGGACAGACTCCCCAACCCATGGTGGAGGAGGGCCTTGAGGGTCCTTGCTGACAGCTCCATGGGGAGGGCGCGAGGCCCCCTTCCTGAGCTGGGGTGTCTGCTCAGAGCCCAAGGCAGGGTGGGGTGGGAGTGCTCGTGCCTGGCAGGAAGCAGACAGCAGGTTGGTCCAGGGGTCTGGGACCCCAGCGGGGAGGCACTGCTGCGTATCTGTGTGGGTGCAAGCGTGTGCCTTGGCCTGTGTCTCTGCATGTCCCTGTGCTGTGAGTATATGTCTTTGAACATGTGTTCTCTGCACACCGTGTCTCTGTGAGTGAGCCTGTGTCCCTGCCTGGCTGTCTCAGAGGCCTGAACGGGCAGAATTTGGTGACTCAGTCATTGATTCAAAGCTCTCCTGGTTGGGGCTACTCCTCAGTGGTCTTCTCCCCCGAGTCTGGTGGTGTATCCCCCTGCCCACCCCCGACTGCCCCTCTGCCCTGTAGGGACCTGGCCCCGGGGGGGGGGGTTCCCTGCCCTTGTCTAGGAGCATCTCTGGCTGTGCTGAGGGTGGAAGCCAGGGCTCCACTCTGCCCGTCTTTCCTTCCGCAGAGCTTGGGGCTGCCTTGGTCGCACCCACCGCCTGCCTGCCCACTGGTCAGCCTTCAGGGGCCCTGAGCAGCGCCTGGCCTCTTTCCTGTGGCCAGCCCAGGTATGTCACAGCCCGGCGGGGCTGGATGGTTGTGGTGGGCAGCAGTGGGCTTGCCTCTGGGTCTCACTTTGCCGGCCCAGGGGCCTTGCCAGCCGGACACTTTGACAACACACCTGAGCGTCTAATCGGAGCTCCCGTGGGGAGGGGCTGGACTTTGGAGACAGGGTCCCAGAACACCCTGGCTGGAGTGTTGAGGAGGGACCGTCCCCGGCTGAGCTCTGACACTGTGGCCTTGCCCGGGCCCCTGCCTGTGTCTGAGCAACCCAGTGTGAATCCTGAACTTGGCAACAGGAGCAAGCCCAGCCCCTGCTCCTCCTGGCCCTCGATGGCCTTGTTTGAGGCTTTTGATTTCTTCTTGAATAGGCCTCATCTGCTCACCTGGGTGATGTGTGCAGGGCTTTGTAGATGGGAAAGGGGGTGGCAGGGGTCTTGGGGGGCACTGGGACTGCATCCTGGGTGCTGGGCTGAGTGCAGGCACCCAGAGCAGCTCTCCCTTTGCCCTCCCACCCGCGTGGGACCCTCGAGCCTTGCCCGCCACTTCTTCCAGCCCCAGCCCCAGAGGGATGCAGGAGAGATGGGGCAGGGGTGCCACTGGCTAGCCTGGCGGCAGATGCTCTCCTTGGGGTGGCTCAGGTGGTGTTTTTGACTGCAGGTGGGGTCTGGCTTCTCCCAGTCAGCCTGGGGTCCTCCCAGGTCCCTGTGGCACCGCCCCTTGCCTGGCCCACGAGTAGGTGCTCTGAGCGCTGCCCAGGTCACATGCGAGCTCCCTGGAGGCGCTGCCCACGGCTGAGTGTCTGCCCTTGGGTTGTACCTGCATGGCCGGCAGAAGGGGGCCGGGCGCCATGCGGGTGTTTCCGTCAGGGTCGGGGTCCCAGGGTTCCTGGGGTCTCTGCTGGGCCCCGATGCATGGCCTCCGTTCTGACCCATTCCTGGGGCCCAGACCCACCAAAGAACCCTCAGGGGAAGGACAGGGTAGGGGCCATGGGAAGCGCCAGGATGGCCGTGTGGGCCTTCAGGGGACCTCCAGACTAGCTTCCTGTTCCGGGGCCCCCTGTCCCCTTCCCCCAGCGAGGACCTGGGCATGGGGTGCTGCCACGGGGCTTGGGCTGCAGTTCTCTACAGAGCCCTTGGGGGGCAGCAGAGGCTTGGGGCAGGTCCTCAGGGGCGGGCAGAGGTGCGGGACCTCCCTGGGCACCCAGGTCTCCCACGGCAGTCCTCCCCAGACCTGCCACCTCCCACATCAGTTACTCCAGGAGGACCCAGGCCTCCAGAGATGGCCAGCCCTGCCAGGGAGCACCCCTTCCCCTCCCTTAGCGGTCTCTCTCTCCTCCTCCTCCTTCCCTTCCTCATGCCCGACCTCTGGGCTTCAGGTCACCTGCCAGGAATCTGGGCCACGTGCTTCCCAACGCCGTAGGGCCCTTGTGCCCTGCGGTGGAGCTGCGGCTTCAGAGACGTGGGGTAGGCTGCGGGGCACAGCTGGGGGCCTCTGTCCCCATCTCCGGCTGTGGGAGGCGTGTGCGCACCCAGCATCACGACACCCAGGAGTGCAGGCACATTTGCGCACGGGGCCAGTATGTCTGTACCTGTCGGGGGCGGGGTGGGGTCTCTTACAGGCTGATTTCCAGCCGGGGCTTGAAGAAAATGAAATTCTGGGCCTCTTGTTTAAAAATTACCAAGAATTTCAAGACGGGAACAGCAGAGCATCAAGCCAGCTGGGGTGGGTGCGGGCGACTGCCCTTGAAGCCGGCCCCGCTCCCGCCTTGGGGACTACACGGGGCGGAGGCCGAGCCGTGCCCACCTGGAACGCTCTGGGTCTGGCCTGGGGCTGCCAGCCTCCCGCGGGGCTGCCCGGTCGGGGGGATGTCTCAGCAATCACACCTGCGCTCTTCTGTGCTGTGGAACCTCTCGTAGAGTCAAAGACTCAACGGCACCCGCTCCATGCAGTGCAGGCTGACCCAGCCCTCCCCCCCGTCCGCCCCCGGCACTCAGGGCTTCCCAAAGCGCCCGGGGCGGAGTCGCCCCAAGTTGCCACCAGACAGCAACGGGGTAACCCTCCATTTGCGTGGTGCTTTGCGTATTGTTCGCGTGGTCGGAGGTCTCCAAGCCCCACCCGGGGCCGGGGTCCAGGCGAGGTACCGTGGGGGGAAGGGCTGGGGGCGTCGGTCGCGGGCCAAGAGCTGCCCAGGTCTCATCCCCAGGCCCCGGCCCCGGTCCCCAGGCCCCTCAGGCGTCCTTCGCGAGCGTCTTCCTGCCGCGCGCGCAAGGTGGGGAGGGCTGGGGCGCAGGCGCCGGCGGAGGGGCCGGGGTCGCGGCTGGTGCGTTGCCGGGGGCTGCGATTGGTCGGCCCGGGCGGAGCGCTGGGGTTTGCCGGGCGGTGCGGCGAGGAGGGGAGGGGGGTCCGCGCGTGGGCGGAGCCGCCGGGGATTGGCCGGGAGGGCGCGGGGCGGGGCGGGGCGCGCGAGGTCGCGGGGCGCGGGGTCCGCAGCGCGCGGGCCGGGCAGGTGTTGGGGTCCCGCAGCCGGGGTTCGTGCGGATCCGCGCGTCCCGCTGCCACCGCGGGGGCCAGACCGGGAGCGGGAGCGGGGCCGGAGCAGGCACCGGCCGGCGGGATGGGGGTTTCCGGGGCGGCGGGCGTGGGGCGCTGAGAGGCGGCCCCGGCACACTCGGGCGAGATGCGCCGCTCCAGCACGGACGAGTCCACGTACCGGCGCAGCCCCTCTCCGGAGGGCAAGGAGCCGGGCTTCGCGCGCGGCGGCCCCTTCCGGCGCTACAGCAGCCTGTACGGGCGCGCGGGAGGCGGGGACGCCGGGGGCGCCTTCTTCGGCCTGCACGCGAATCCCGGCCCCAAGGCGGCCCAGGCGCGCTACACGTCGCCCAAGGGCAACAAGTACGTGGTCTTCTACCTGGACCTCTCCTTCATTTTCCTCCTAGAGCTGAAGCGCTGCGGCATGGCGCGCGCCTGCCTCCAAGCCGTTAAGTACCTCATGTTCGCCTTCAACCTGCTCTTCTGGGTGAGTCCGGGCGCCGGGGTGGGTGCCCGGGAAAGACCCGGGGTTCCTGCCGCGGCGGGTCGCGGGGTCTGGGAGGCCGGAGTCGCTGCCCCGGCCGGGCGTTGGGTGCGGTTGGGGGGGTGGTCCCGGAGGACCCAAGACCGCTGCTCCGGCTGGGGCCCGGACTGGGCGGGTGGGGAAGGTTTTCGCTGGGTCTGACCCCTGCACTCCGAGAGGCTGCCCCACGCCCCGGCCCCCTTTCCTCTCCTCTCTTGATGGGACGGGACACGTTGCACACGTGCGCGCCGGGCAGGACCACCCGGGCACTGCGCCTCCCTTAGGGTCGGGATTCCAGTCCGGGTCGTGGCCCGTTTTGCGCGGGGCCCCGGTGCCTCCCCTGGGCCCGCCCTCTCCTCGGTGCAGCTGGCATCCTTGCTTCGGCCCCGCTCCTCCAGGCAGGCGACCTTCCCGGCCAAGGGACTCACTTCCTAGGGGTTGAGCCGGCTGCCGCCCAGGTTCCCCAGTCCCCGGGAGGCGCTGCGGAAGGGAATCCCGGACACTGAGCAGGGCCGTGGGCCATGAGTGCTCGCGGCAGAACCTGGCTTTCCCGCGCCTCCGGCAGCAGAGGCTTCCCTAACTTTTGCCGAGGTGGTGTCAGGTGTGCTCAGACTTGGAGTGGTGTCTAGGGTGGGCCCTGTGTGCTGGGCGGAGCAGAGCTGAAGTAGAGGGAGGACAAGGTTCCACCCCAGCCCCAAGTCGGCAGGAGGTGGGGCAGGACTCCCACCTGGCCAGGTTGGAGCACGCCTCATGGAGCCGCAACCCTGTCCTGTCCCTGGCCCCTGTGGAGGGCAGTTGGAGTTGGGGGTGGCCAAGGATGACCTGGGCCAGGCCTGGGGCTTTGCTGGCTGGGCTGGGGGAGGTGAAGTGATGCCAAGGTCATTCTGTGCCCTATCCTTAATTCCTGAACCAGCTCCTGCAGCTGGGAGTCGGGGTGTGGCCTCAGCTTCACCTGGGCTCTGGGCTTCAGGAGGCTGTCCATCTGCATGAGATCCAGCTGGGGCCAAGTGCCCAGAAGCCTGGGTCCGCCTTCCCATCTCTCTCCTCCTGAGCCCTGGCTCCTTCTCTCGCCAGCTTGGGGTGGGGGCTGCGGGGGTCCCTGGGAGGGACAGCAGCCTGGGTTGCCTGCCGGGTGTGACCCAAGGAGCCTCCTGGTCCAGACATCCACCTCCAGAAGGGGTCACCCCAAGGGTTTGTTTTGTGCAAGGGGCTCTTGAAGGGGTGAGGTCCAGGCCTGAGGGGTGCCTTGGAGGTAGGGGAGTGGGAGACATGGGTTTGGGCTGGAGCTGGTGGGTGTGGGGGGTGGGCTGCAGGTGACTGAGTGACCAGAGTGTTTCTGTGATGGGGGGACAGGACCAAATGACTGAAGGGCAGTGGGTGTGGGGGCCCGGCAGGCAGGCAGGTCCTGGGAGGGGAAGCCCTCTCCTCTGTCCCCCCTCCTCCTCTCCTCCGTGGCCTGGACACCTGCCTTCAGGGAGAAAGAAGAGGGTCCCCGGGGGGGGTCTCTGCCCTGAGAGCAGCCCACCTTCATGGAAGACCCCAGGTGGACCCCGCTTTGCTCTGTGAACCCCAAAGAGGCCTCCGTTTCTTTTTTTTTTTTTTTTTTGAGATGGAGTCTCGCTCTGTCGCCCGGGCTGGAGTGCAGTGGCCGGATCTCAGCTCACTGCAAGCTCCGCCTCCCGGGTTTACGCCATTCTCCTGCCTCAGCCTCCCGAGTAGCTGAGACTACAGGCGCCAACTCACCCGGCTAGTTTTTTGTATTTTTTTTAGTAGAGACGGGGTTTCACCGTGTTAGTCAGGATGGTCTCGATCTGCTGACCTCGTGATCCGCCCATCTCGGCCTCCCAAAGTGCTGGGATTACAGGCTTGAGCTACTGCGCCCGGCCAAGGCCTCCATTTCTACCGCTGGCAGACACACTCCGCCGTCCTCAACCTGGGAAGGAACACACCAGGAACCCTCTTGGGACCCTGTTCTGAGCTGGAAAATCCAGTTCTCTCTTTTTTATTTTTATTTTTTGAGATGGAGTCCTGCTCTGTCACCTGGAGTGCAGTAGCATGATCTCGGCTCGCTGCAACCTTCCGCCTCTGGGGTTCAAGCGATTCTCCCACCTCAGCCTCCTGAGTAACTGGGATTACAGATGTGCATTACCATGCCCGGCTAATTTCTGTATTTTTAGTAGAGACGGGATTTCACTATGTTGGTCAGGCTGGTCTTGAACTCCTGCCCTCATGATCCACTGTCTCTGCCTCCCAAAGTGCCTCCCAAAGTGCTGGGATTACAGGCGTGAGCCACCGTGACCAGCCCCAATTATTTTTTATTATTCAATCACCACCTGCTGCCCAGTCCAGCAAACTGGAGTCCCGCTGGCCTCATACACCAGCCTTGGCCCCCCCAACCCTGGGCTGGTGCCCAGTGGGGGTCTGAGGGCGGGAGCGGGGCAGGGGAAATAAGAATGGGTGGGGGTTTAGTCAGGAGAGTCTGTCCTGGGCTGACGTCCACACCTGCTGTGCCGTGAGTCACTGTGAGCTAAGTCCCCTCCTCCTGGCAGGAGGCTATTTCAGGAGTCAGGCCTGGTGCCGCTTCCCCAGGGCTCCTTTCCTTTAGGGGGTGCCAGCTCTCTGTAGTAGGGGCTTTTGCATTTCCAACTCATCTGTCCTGCCAGGGGGCAGAACCTGGCCCGTTCCTTCTCAGAATCATTTCCTCCGTCTCCTCGGGAGTGAAGCTCAGGGGTTAAGGTGGTGGGAGGGGCATCCCCCTGGTGGGACCCCAAGAGCCCATGTGTGTCTGTCCTGACCCCCCACTGCCGGAGTCCTGCTGGGCCTGTGGGGAGGGCGTGGGGGAGCCCCAGTGGGCAGCCAGTGACCAGAGCCATGGGCAGTGGTGGGAGCCGGGGCGGGATGAGGAAAGTTGTGTGTGACTGGGGGGCTGTGCCCATTCTGGGTGTGGCTGTGGGTGTGGAGGCAGGGGTTGAGCCCTGTAAGTGGTACGGGTGTGGCCAGGATGAGGGGTCCTGTGGCACTGGGAGGAGTTGGGGGGCTGAGAGTGGGGGACCTGTGCCTGGCTCCTGTGCAGTGGTCAGGGTGCAGTGATGGTTCTGCAGCTTCCCTCTGCCCGCACCGTGCCCGCCTGCCCCTTAGCTTTGCTCTCCTGTGCCCTCAACCCCAGCCTGGCACCTCTTTCTCCTGCCTTTGCCTTCATGCTCTTCTCAAAGTCCCCCTTCTTCCAAATGCAGACCCTCCAAGGCCCTGACAGTACTCCTGGCTTCCAAGGTCTCTTTGGGTCCAGACCTGAGCCCCCCTCCACACCCACGGTCAGACTGGGCCCCTGGCTGAGACCACAGTCACTAACTGGACCTGGGGCAGCCTTGGGGCCTACTTGAGTGGGGGGAAGGAAGGGGCTCGCTCCAGAAGACTGATTGACGTATTTCTTTACAGCGTTGGTTCGGATTTCCGGGGCAGGCATCTTTGCTGGGGTCTGGGAGGGTAGGGCTGCTTGCAAGGGTCTATACTCAGAGCCTCCAGCTTCGGGTGGAGTGGGGAGGGTTCCTGGGGCAGCCAGGGTGGGGAGGTAGGATGTGTCCTGGCCTGGTGGTGGGGCACCTGGTGGGGCCTTCAGAGTTCAGAGCAGTGGTGCCAACTCCTAGCCCCATGGGCATCTGGGGACACACTGCCTGCCTTCAGCTAATAGGAGTGCCCCCCGGTGATGGCAGCTCCACTGGGGCACAGCCACTGAGCCTGCCTTTGAGCCCTCCCTGCACAGGGTGGGGAGTGGGAAGCACGCGGCCTGTGATGGGGCCCGGGTGTCTCCTGGGAGCCCCATTCTGGGGGAAGCTGGGTGCAGGGCCCGTGAGCCTGAGCAAGGTGTCCTGGGTCCAGGCAGGTGCCGACACAGACACAGGTCAGCAGTAGTGAGGGCATGGGGGCTCTGCTGCCCCGGGACCCCCACCTTCAGGCCTCTGTGCTGCCTCGTCAGCTCAACCTCTGCCAGCAACGCTCTTCCCTTAATGGAAGTGGAGGTCCCAGGGGCGGAGGGGAGAGGACGGGGCCTGCACTTCCTGCCCATCAGGGGTGGAGGCGGCTGAGCTCCTTAGCAAGGTGCCACCACCAAGGGCTGTCCTCCTGCCTGCCTGGCCTCGGCTCCTTCCCGACGCTGCTCCTCAGGGTGGGTGCCGCTCCTCTCCCCTCCCTGCCCCAGCACCAGGAGCTCGGCGGAAGCTCAGGCCCTCTCTGCACTGTGTGGTTAGGGCCCCTCTGGGGGGCCGGGGTGGAGGTCGGAGTCCTGCCTGCCACTGTGGGACACCGGGCAGGTCCTGCCCTCCTTGGGGCCTCATTTTCCCATCTGCACCACATGGGGCGGTACAGGATGAGGTCCCCAGGTGCTGGCCTGACCCGGGGGGGTGAGTGGAAATGTGGGAGGCCCCTCAACCCCCTGCCACCTGCACTGACCCCCGGGGAGACACCCAGGTGGGCAGTGTGTCGGAGCCATGTGGTCCAGGGCCCCAGCCTGGAGGGGACACGGGGACTGTCCTGGCTCTGTCCTGTTTGAGCTGTCAACCCTGGAGGTGTGGGGGCCCCTCAGCCTGACTGCCCACTCTCTGTTGCCCCAAAGGAAGGTCCTGGCTGCGCTTGGGGCCTCTGCTCTGAGATCGGCAGTGAGCCTGGTGGAGGGGTGCGGCGGGGGCCAGTCCTTGGCTTCCCCTCCCCTGGGATGAGTTGAGGTGATGTCTGGCAGATGCCATGGCGAGCCCGCCTGGCGCTGGCCTCTGGGCAGCACAGTGTCCCCGAGGGTGGCAGAGGGCTCTGCCTCCAGCTCCCAGGCCTCTCTGAGGAGTTCAACATCCCAGGCCAGCCTTTGGGGTGGGGATGGCGGCAAACTCCCAGCATCCATTTCTGAAGGAAGGCCCTGATGCCGGCAACCACAGTGTGTCTGAGCCTTGGGAAGTGTGTGGCTCCCGGTGGGTGGG